TGGTGGGCTCTGATTCCTGGAATTCCCAGCCTGGGGAAGGCAGGGCAGCCCCAGTCCCGGGGAGATCCTAATCAGGAATTCTGTGATTGCCCCGATTTGCATGACAGGCAAACACATCCCAACAATCCCAACACATCCTTGCATGACAGGCAGACACATCCAAACAATCCCAACACATCCAGCCCTTCCTGCTGCCTCCCGGGGCTCTGCAGGAGGGCTGGGAGCTTCTCCTGGGATGGAGGTTTTTCTCCTGGGTGACTCAGTCAATGCTCAGGGAGGTTTGGGGGTGCTCAGGGAGGTTTGGGGGTGCTCAGGGAGGTTTGGGGGTGCTCTTGTTTTGGCTCCTCTGCCTGTTTTTGGCCGACCACGAGGAGTGTGAGCGATGGGATCCGGGAGACACCTGGCAGTGCTTTTATTGCTCTCCCCGAGCTTCTTCTGCAGCAACTGCTGCACTTTGCCCTGTTTTGAAATGAAGGTGTTTTGTCCAGGTTGGGGTTTGGGTTTTGGTTTTTTTTTATTTTTTTAACTCCTCTGTGTCCCCCTCCCTGGCAGGAGCTCACAATGACAGAGGAAACATGCAGGACTCGGAGTCAGAAACGAGCCTTGGAGCGGGACGTGACCCCCAACGATGTGGACAGTAAGAAACTCAAAATGGAGAAAGGACTCTTGGGGACGGAGCTGAACTCTGAGGGAGACATGAAAATCAAGGCAGAGCCCGGAGCTGGCAAAGTGCAGGGACTGTTAAAGGCTGGAGAGGTGAAGGCGACCATCAAGGTGGAGGTTCAGACGGGGGACGAGCCCGTGGACATGAGCACCTCCAAAAGGTGAGTCCCCACCTCCCTGGGGGCATGAGCACCTCCAAAAGGTGAGTCCCCACCTCCCTGGGGGCATGAGCACCTCCCAAAGGTGCTCCCTGCTGTCCCTGGACACCAGAGAAGGCCCTGGAATGCTGCAGTGCTTGGGGTTGGAAGGGAGCTGGAAGCTCATCCCATCCCTCCCCCTGCCATGGGCACTGGGATGGGGTTGGGGGCACCAGGAAGGAGTTGAAGGGAATTGAAGCAGGACGTGGATGTGCAGCTCTGGATCTTCTCCTGAGATCCAGCAGCTCCTTCCTGGCTTTCCTTTGGCAGCTGAGGAGAGGAATGTGGGTTTAAATGAGCTCACAAGTCCTGAAGAGAATCCTTGGAATGGTTTGGGTGGGAAGGACCTCCAAGCTCATCCCATTCCACCCCCTGCCAGGGGCAGGGGACACCTCCCACTGTCCCAGGTTGCTCCAGCCTGGCCTTGGGAAGGGTTTGCTTTGAGCTCCTGGTGGAGGTTCCAGTGTGGAAGAGGGGTTTGGGTGTTTGGGATTGATCTGGGAGAACAACGGGATATAATTGTACCAAGCAGAGAAGCTGGAATTTTGCTTTGGGCTCCTTCCTGAGTGGGTGTCAAAGTGGGGCTCGTTGGGGTGGAAGTTGGTGGGACTTGGCCCTGGGAATGCTGTGGGTGCTGTGCTGGAAAAGCCTCCTGGAGGTGCCTGGATTCTGACACCTGATGGAAGCTGCTGCTCCCAGTCCCTGCCCTGCTCCCGACCCCTCAGTGCCTGGGCATCTGTGCTCTGGAGGCTTCTCAGCCTCCTTCAACACTTTGAGCACTGAAAACATCATATTTCCCTTGGAGAAGGTGGCCCAGCCGTGGTCCCAGCGTGGCTGATGGGCCAGGGCAGCTCTGGAGTTGGGAGGTTTTCAGGACCCCGAAGGACAAACGAGCCTTCGACTGGAAAAACGGTTTTGTTGGGGTTTTAAAGTTTTAGTTTGGTTTTTTTTCTTAAACCTCCAAGTGAAATTCAAAGCCAGGGCCTGGTTTGGGCGGGGTTGCTGTGCCAGGAGGGGCAGAGGGAAGCCCGAGGTGCTGGGAGGAGGCTCTGGAAGGCTCTGCTGAGGGGTCACACGAGGCCAAACCAAAGCTTTGCTCCTGCTCCTGCTGCTCTCAGGAGCTGCTGCTGGTTATCCCAAACCCTCTGGAGAAGGGATGGGGGGGAAGGAGAGCCTGCTCCCCCTGGAGAAGGATGTGGCAGGCAGAGCAGTGCCCCAAAACTCCCCCTGCCTGTGCATTCCCTGACTTCACCCACGTGCTGTCAGGATTTCTCACTCCTGGCTCGGTCCCTGTCTCGTCCTTCCCCTTCCCTCTGCTCCTTCCCTTCAATCCCAGAGTTTCCCACCTTTTCCCTGTGTTGAGCAGCAGCCTTTCCACCTCAGGCTGGAGTTTTCCCCTGGATTGGGTTGGGGTTGTTGTGCTCCAGGTGCAGCTCCTTCCTCCACACAACAAACACCTCCTGGCCGTTTTCCAGGGGTTTTTTTGTTTCCTCCCCCCCCAAAACTCTCCCCTGAGCCATAAAAACTGAGCTGGTTGTGAGCAGAGATCCCTGGGCAGAGCCCACGGGGATCCCTCTGGACACTGCTGGGTCTTGGGCAGCTCCAGGAGGACAAATTGTCCTCTGGAGCAAAAGCATCAGGATCCTTCCAGAGCCCAGGTATCCCAATTCTTGGAAAGCTTTGCTCCTGAGGGAAGTGTGAGGTGTTCCCAGGGGAGGTGCTCCTGTGTTGGGCTCTCCTAAATCCTCAAAATTTACAGGAATTCCCCAAACAAGGAACCCCAAAACAAGTGCTTCACTCCAGGATTCTGCAGAGTGAGGCTTTGGAGTGATCCAGGGAAAACTGGGAGGGAGGGGAAAATGGGATTTACCAGGGAGTGATAACAAAGCACAAATTCAAGGGTTGGCTCCCACCCATCCCTCCCTCCATCCCGTCCTCCCTGTGTCCTGTCCCAGTGCTGGGATCAACATGTGCCCTGGAAAACTTCTAGGCACTTGGACATCTTGGTGTTTTTCCCATGTTTTCCCTGTTTTCTGGGACTGGTCAGTTAATCCTGGAATTCCCTGACGTGTGTTAAGGCAGCACCTCCATCCAAACCAACCCATGAATTATTCCTGTGGAGTTTGGGGTCGGTTTGGGGCTTATTGGGAGAAGAAAGAAATATATATAAATAAAAAAATCCCCCTGGACAAACCCCCCTCTCCCAACCCACTCCCGGAATCCTGTTGGATTTTCCCATCGAGCCCCAGGCTCTGGGTTTTTGGACCTGGGAGGAATGAGGTTCCTTGGCAGGGGTTGGTGTGGGGTGGCTGAGGTTGGGGCCCAGTCTGTGCCCTGGATTTCCCAGGTTTGGATGTGGAATTTTCATGTTCTGAAGGATTTGAGGTCGGTCTGGGGGTTGTTTGGTTTTTTGTTTGTTTTGTTTAATCTGGTCAAATCCCATTGAAAAGTTAAAAGAGTGACTGGACTTGAGTGGGACTGGGAGGTGTTGTTGATCCCTGGGCTTGGCTGGCCCAGCTCTTCCTGGTGCTGGAACTTACTGGGACCAGTGGGCTCCTCTTTTCCCTTGGAAACCCTGGAATTAGGGATTTTCCTCCCCTCCCAGCGTGTCTGTGCCTCCAGCCACGTGCTGTCCTGAAGGATATCGTTGCAAAACCAATTCCTGGGGGGGAATTTAACATTTTATTCCAACCCAAGTGGATTTTGAGCTCCTGTTCTGGTTCCTTCTCCTCCTTTTCCCTCCCCCATCTCAATCCTTTGATTCCCAGAGATAAAACACCTCCAGGAGGGGGGGGGGGGAAGAAAAAAATTCCCCAGTGCCTTGTTTTTGCTTTCCTTGTTTGTCTTCCTTCCCTGCCAAGTATTTTTGGATGAGACAACACGAGGGCTTGAATGGACTGAGGCAAAACTGCTGCATATTTGTGGATGCAGATGAAGCTCCAGGCTGGGAATGTTGGGATGTTCCTTCCTTCCAGGAGCTCTTCTGTGCATCAGGGAGAATCCCCCGAGCCAGGGATTCCTCAGTGTCCCTTTTTTTTTTTTATTCCCCACACTCACTTTTCCAAGTGTCCAGTTTAAACTTTGCCTTCCTGGGAAGTTCCTTGAAAGAACTTTTTCTGCTGGGAAAAGTCGAGTCCGGCTCGGGGTGGGTTTGGGATGGAGAGGTTTGGATGCATCTTCCTCTTGGGGGGAAAAAATTTG